ATCAATTTTGATTTTATTTTATAGTAATATCTTTTACGATTAACCAATTACAAAAGTATCTTTTGTATTTTTGTTCTACATAGTATATAGAGAACATTCCTTTTCTTTTTTTTTTTATAAATAAACATCAAAGCTTGTCTAACGAGCTAACAATCATGCAATAAAGGAAAAGAACATTTTATTAATTCGAACTATTTAACATCTATTCAATTTTAAAGAAAAGAACTCAAAAAAGTAGTCTCGTCTATTTATTTATATCTAATTATTTTTTTATGAAAAAACTCTTTACTCGTTGCTTGTTTGACTCCTCAAATGAAAGTAGGGTGTGGGTGTGGGTGTGGGTGGGTGTGGAGTAACAATACACTACTCACCCCCACAGCCACAGACACACCCACACCCACACCCAAACCCACACCCACACCCACACCCTCACACGCACCCTCACCCTTCTTGACCTTGTACAGTGGTTTTAAACTTCTTCTCAACGGTTATTACTTCAATAATGTAATATGACTTATAAGTCGAATTATACGCCATTGGTGCTTGAGTTATAAGTCATTTTCACGAAGTTGCATGACAGTTTTTGATCAATAGTAGTCTCATTGAATTCGTAAGGGTAGTATCTAATGTTTACAAAAAATGTACGAAACAGCCTTTAAAAAAGTATACGCATTAAACCTCAATTTTTTTCGAATTCTGCTATGTATATTTCGTCAGGAATGAATTATATATAATTATTCATTTTTTCCATGGATACTTATACAAAGATTGTATTTTTCAAGTACTTGTGATTTGTTATCATAGAATATACTGTACTTCTTATGGTTAAATAAATTGTCTATTCGTTTTGGCAAACGGTGTGGATTGATGTACCACGGCTGTAAATCATTTTTCTTCTAGCACAATTGACTTTGTTCATCATTCTTTAACGACGAATTTTGATCTTATGATTCTCGTCAATTTGAGATTTTAAAAATATTCATATTCCGATCACTGATTTATCCCAAAACATGGTATTCATTGAGTTAAAACTACAATAAAAACCAGTTCAGCTCTATCCTTTATTATACTGGAGACAATCAGAGTCCAATGTGCCAAACAGGCCATTTCGAACGTCGGTCAAGAAACGACGAAAAATCAGTTTCAACTGATAGAGCTGAAACTTCGATCACTATTCATAAATGTCTATAAATGACTGAGAAACAGTGGTGTAATAAATAATGGATGATGCTGATGATGAACATCGATGTTATGCTGATTTGGATATGCTTAAACCTATTTTAAAACAACAAGACGATGAGATACTAAATTCATAAAAAAAAACAAAATCTATTTATTTTTTTGATTATAAAATGGCAACATAACTAAATCGATATAGTGAAGTGCAAGAACTTTATAAATATCTTCTATTAAAAGTCACCGATTCTACCTATTCAGAAAGAGGAAGAAAAATTTACTCATTTTATCATCTTTAAAAGTATGTCAAAGGTCCAAACATTTGTATATTAAGAGAGACTCCATGAGACCATCGACCGACCCAGTGTTTGAAAAATCTTTTTATTTTGAAATGAGTTAGACCATTCGACAGTCCGTGAAAAGTTTCGAAAATTTTTATAACTTGTAGAGAATTTTATGTAAAATTTGATGACAACATATATTATTATTGAAGATACTTCTTGTCTACTCTTAATTAACGTATCTTGATCAGATGTGTTAAATGCTTCATCATACAACGAGATTCTCAAATATAAATTGTTCTAAAGAGTCTTTAATTTGTTAGTTTTTACTTAAAAGTCAATGAAAATGGTAATCTTTGATGAAAATTTCTTATATTTTTGCCTTAAAAGTATTTCAGAGCGATTGCGTTTCAAAACACTTTTAATACCAGTCAATATTTTTGTACGTAAAGAGCGCACATTTTAACGCGTTAAAAAATGTCTATTTTTGAAAATAAGCAAGTTACTTTGTTACTAGTTTGTTATACATCAGATTAACATTATCTTCGGGCAACTCATAAGTCTCTTAAGACTAAGCTAATCGTATTGTTTGTCGAATATGGGCTAAAAGTTGATGATCATTCCAACTATTCTGCTTGACACTTTACTGTAAAAGCTGTTTATTGTAAAATTAAGAGAAAGACAACGCTAACAAGATTCTTGATATATCCCTACAAAAAATTAAAGAATTTTGAAAGTTAATCACTATTCTTTTTTGCTCTTTCGTCACCTTTTGGATTCTTTTCAGTCTTTAATAAAATGACGCTTTTTTGCCACCTATGCCTAACATTACGAAAATTCTATTGAAATAAATAATGATAGCTTTTCAGTCATAGATACTTACTCAGTGTTCTCCGAAAATAATAAATAATTTCACAAATCCTTCTTTCTTTCTTTCCGTCCAACTATAACTAAAATTGCACAGCCATACTTCTTTTTTTTCATGACTAATAAAACAAATATTGTGCAAGTAAAAGTTAATAAAAGTAACCAATTCTTTTTTTTGTGGAGTCAAATCAATTAACTGTATGCTACCAAGTACAATGTCATTACCATCAAGACAATGTAAAATTCGTCGAACATCAGATAAAGCAGAAATCATATCTATTCTTCAGTAAATTTCTCCAGTAATTCAATCATCTGATAGTATTTTAATTGAATCTCGAGCTGCTCTCTTTCATCTGCCTAACTTTCAAAACTTAAGCATATCAAATTTTGATTGTGATATGATCCGTTCTTCGACTTATTTATTAAAATGGTTATAGAAAAATGATAAAGAAATCGACACTACTGAAATGGTCATTCTGTCTTCAGATGAGGTTCCATTAAATTTATGTCACTCGTACTGTGGCTTCTGGAATGAAATATGATTTTGCTGTTCCACGATTGTTAACATCTTACACACGACTTATTTATTGAAGAACTTAGAGAATTGATGCTACTCACATAAATCATGGTATCATCAAAAAACAACTTATCATTTGACTTTTGTAAAGCTTCTACTAATATTGAGAAAAATATATGCTTTATTACTCACATCGATGGAAAAAAACAGCCATAGATTATCAACAATTACTCACAATCACCTCGCCTCTTAAAAATGATGATAAAGAGCTATATGATTTATTTATACGCTACTAGACGAATTAAAATTGAATCAAGCAACGTGATTGATGTTTCTACATAAAAACGATAATTAGATGGGTTAATTCACTTTTAATTTGTCTTATTTTTTTCAGTCTATTGAGGACTTAAGTGAGAAAAGAAATAACTTTGTCTTCATTTTCTTCCAGTGAAATAGCTATTGCTTGATCAATTTTGTCTATAGAAAAAAATATCATTGTTTGGCATTGACGAACAATATACGTCAGGTCAAACATATAAATGTATCGATCATATCTTGATTGAATTAAATTAAATGAATATGGAATATTCGAATGTTGGATTAAATGATCTACCTGATGAAATTCTTCTGATTATTTTGAAAAAATTAAATAATTTTGATATACATTATTCTTTACAAGGTGTTAATCAACGACTAACTCAATTTATTCAAGATTCGATTTTTACAAAAGATCTATATTTTACTGAAAAATCTTCAGATAAGTTTATTGATCGTCTTTCGGATGAAATGACACATGATCGATTTTGTTTACAAATTTTACCTTCAATTCATGATAAAATCGAATTTCTAGCTCTTGAATCATCATCAATGAAAAGTGTTTTACATGCTTCTCATTATGACAACTTACATTATCTTGCACTTTATAATGTTGATGACGAATTATTTCGAAGTCTATTAGCAGGTAAGAATGTTTTAGTTCACTTGTTGTCGATAGATTTTCTTAATTATGTTTAGATCGAAATCTTTCAGTTCCTATATTTATGAATCGAATTACAGTACTTATTCTTGCATGTAATCGAATTGAAGATTATTTTGAAATGTTATCGTCAGTAACAAAGATATTCGAATGTCTCTTTCCAATATTCATGAAACTAAAATATTTAGTGTTACGTGAATCATCGTATAAAAATTGTGTTCGATTAAATTTTGATGATCCACTAATTCTGAATTTTCGTTCATCAACACTTTTATATTTGGATGTGAAAGTGCAATCTTATGATGATTGTCTTTATCTTCTCGATGGTCGTTTCAATCAACTACATACACTTATTATTGATGTGATTAATTGTTTTAATACACGCGAAGTTGATAATCAGGTTAGTTTTGTGAAAAAAATTTTTTTATTGTTAAATAAGAAAAGTTATTTTTATTTTAGGATCATTTACCAAATCTAAAATATTTTTCTTTTTCATGTAATATCATGAGATTTTATGATAATGAAATAAGTCGTTCACTTCTCTCTCGAATGTCAAATCTTGAACGACTCGACTTATATATTATGTTTGACTGTCAAACAACATTTATTGATGGAAACTATTTGAAGAAAAATATTCTCAATTCTATGATGAAATTAAATGAATTTCATTTTGCTATTACTTCACGTATATCTAATGTGATGAAATTGAATTTACCATCAACAGAAGATATTCAACGAACATTTATTCATTTTCAAACTAAGAATATTATTTCTTATGTTGATTATTTTCCAGAAAGTAAAAATGGTCTATGTCATATCTATTCGTATCCATTTAAAATGATATATTATAGTGATATTACAAATCAATTTCCAGATGGATTATATGAATATGTTCGTAAAGTGTCATTATTTGATGAAAAACCTTTTGAACATGAATTTTTTCTTCGAATTCGAAAATCATTTCCATTATTGGAAATATTATATGTGAAGAATAAAAAACCACAAAGTCATAAACAATTAAATGATAATCAACAATATTTATCTCTTATTCAATTTTCTTCTCTTAGTGAACTTCATCTCGCTGATGTTCATGATGATTATATTGAAGAATTTCTATTTCATACAAAAACGCATTTAGCAAAAAATGTCAATCTTTTTATTAACAATGAATCTTTAGAACGAATAACACACAATTTCACAAGAGAATGTACACGGATTAATTGTACAAAAGTTGATAAATTATATTTACTTGATAATGATAAATTGAAATGTGAAAATTCTTTAGGAAAATATTTTCCTATTGCCAAAATAATTTATCCAAAAAGGTATTGAAAAAGAACAGAAATCTTATACATAATAAAAGAAAATTATCTTTTCTTATTAAATTACAAAAAAAACAAATATATGAGTGGAATCTATATTAAGTGAAGGGTGTGGGTGTGGGTGTGGGTGTGGGTGGGTGTGGGTGGGTGTGGGTGTGGTGTGGGTGTGGGTGTGTCTGTGGCTGTCGGGGTGAGTAGTGTATTGTTACTCCACACCCACCCACCCCCACACCCACCCACACCCACACCCACCTACCCACACCCACCCTCACCCACACCCACCTACCCACACCCACCCACACCCACACCCACCTACCCACACCCACACCCACCCCTTTTGATAGATTGGACTGGCATAGCATCAGAAGAATGATATAACAATGAAGTCATTTGAAGAGGTTGAGGTCGTTCTAGTGCAGCCCAAATAAACGAATAACCACATCTTGAACAATGCATATGTAAACAACCACCACTTTTTTCAATTTTTACATGACAATTTGGACATGGTTGAGTATTGAGTACTTCCATTCGTTCAGCAGTTAAGATTTCTTCTAATAAAGCATCTTCTTCAGATAAGTCAATGGCAATTTCACGATATTGTTGTTTAGCAAGATTTTTTTCAGCTAAATCTTTTTTTTCTTTATCGATTCTAATTGATTCTGCATCAGCTTTTTCTCGTTTTTTGGCAATTCTCTTCTGATCTTTTCCGTTCTGAGTTCTTTCACGTTCTTCTATCTGTTGTTTTGCAATTCTTTCACGTATTTTTCTCTGTTGTAATCTTAATTGTTCAGCGAGATAATCTTCTGGACACATTGCTTGAAAGTGATATTTTTCTTTACATCTTTTACAAAATGTATAATGACATTGATCACATACAGCTAAATTATCATCACCACTACCGATAAGAACAGCAGATTGACATCTAAATCCAATAGTTCTTCCCTAATGTAACATCTTTTAAGTAAAATATGTTATTTTGGTCAAGATACAACTTATAGAAATGTGACAGATTTTAAACATTAGGTTTTTGAATTACTCAAAAAACGATAAAAGATACTCATCAGCATCAAAATATTTGGGAGCAGAGCCTATTGACTATGTTGCATCTCACTGCAATGTTAATTTCAAGTTTTGGGATGATGCTCTCTTAATTCATGATATGCAAACAGACATATCGAAACTCAAATTTAAGATTTGAATATCTTATGTCTTTTTGGCACAGTGTTGGATAGCCTGTCTGGTGAATCCTCTCATAAGTGCGTTTAGATACCATGAATTAAGAAAGTATCGCCCTAAAAGATGAAATAAACATAGTCTGAATCGGGAGGGAAATCCCAGTGCTTCCAGAAATCGCTTACAACTGGTTCAGGAAGGAAAAGACATTTTTTGCTTCGATCGGAAACTATCAAGGATACGTAAGGGTATCTATCTATTGCTGAAAATAGTCATCTACCTTATATTTGGGCGCAGATAGTAGATCTTGGATAAAATATCGATCATATAAAGTAATTATTCGAAACCTTATTTGCATCAGCCTAAGTACTTCTCTAATGTAAAATGCAATACTGAATGTGAATTTGAAGTGAAATTCATTTCACACACAAAAAAGAATCAAGACCTCTAAAATTTCTTTGGTTTTTTTGTCCTGCTCTGAAGATATTCGACTAGAGTTACAATTATCTCTCTTTTCTGTTTGTCACTGACCTTGGGCACCAGATAACATTGTTCATTGATTCTAGAGCATGTTGTAATGTTAATCTTTCATATCTTTGATATAATTGAGCATCTTGAATAATTTGTTTAATTTCATTTGGAAGTAATGCTTTTTGACATTGAGTTTGTGGACAATGAAGTTTTTCACCAAATTTTCCATTGTTTAATGTTATTCTAACATAATTATTTAAACATGGTCGACAATAAAAATGTCCACAACGATGAAGACGAATAAAATCCATTCCTGGAATGATATCTGTACATATTAAACATGTTTGAAGTTGATTTTGAAATTGTTTTTCATGTTGTTCATTATTATAATTTATCAAAGATTGATAAATTTGATCAATATTCTCATTTGAATATCCATTTAATGCTCGTGGATCATTGATTTGTTCATCGTCTTTAGTTTGAAGTATAAGTTCATTAGTGATTTCATGTTTTATCAACTCGATCCAATCATAAACACAAACTTCATCTTTTATAAATAAATAATTATCAAGTTTTTGACAAAGATTTTGTAAAAATAATTTTGAAAAATAAAAACATGAAAGCATAAATGAAGGAGGATAATCACTTGGATATTTATCATGATAATGAGTAATAAGAGTAAATGCTGGTAAATGATTAATAATAGTTCTTTCATCATTATATCGAATAATAAATGGTTCAATTAGATCAAAATCAATTAAGATTTCATATTGACTATTGTCATCAAGCAAACGAAATTGCGTATCAAATATTGATTGTAATGCTAATATTTCATCTGTTTGTTTTTCGAGATTCGTCATAAATATTGTTGATTAGTAACAATATAAGTGTATGAAAACTACTAAAACTTTGTGAATATATGACCATGCTTTCTTACGAAATTACAACGTTGCATAAGAAAATAGCAATATGTCAATGAAAGAAAGGAAAAAAACAGAACACAAAATAAATGGTGACACAGGAGTGACGTGACTATTAAAATATCAAAGCGTTTTTTGAGAGCATGCTCTTCATTATTTAATTATACCTTTGTCATAGTTGAGGGTGGGTGTGGGTGAGATTATTCTTCTTCAAACATTACACCCACACCGTTATATTTCTATTATACTATATTATTTTCGTATGTAGGCGACCTCTATTAAAATACAAATCTACTCGTCTTCTTATTTATCGTTGATAAGCAACTATAGTTATTGATCTTGTAACGTCTTTTACTTTAGTATTTCTCTTTGTTAAAATGTCGTCTCACTATGTTCTGTTACTTATTCTTCGTATTTCTGTTTTTGGTACATTTTTTGGTCATGGATGTTTGGCTTTCAGGTTTGTACCAGGATGGTTGCCTTATCTTGGCGTGGTTGGTATAGGCACAAAATGGGCTCGGTAAATTCTCATAGGATTTCATTATATTCATTCTATATCAGATTTTATAGTATTCTAATGCCAGTTATTGGTCTGTTAGACATTATAATTGCTTTTGTATGTCTCTTTATGGATGCATGTCCTCTCGTTTATTGTTGGGCATTTGTTTGGGGTTTAGCAACGGCTCTTATACGTCCGATCGCTGGCGAGTCAATTTTTGGATTTATTGAACGTACAGGAAACTTTTGTCCAGCACTCGCTTTGCTCTGGCTAGCTGGTGGTCAAGATTTTGGGTACTATTTGATGATTTGTACTCTTATGACAAGTATTCTTGCAATTTTTGGAGTTATCTTCAGAGTAACTGGTTTGATGAAGAATTGAAACCAAGAAAAACATTCCATTTATTAAAGTTCGAAGAAAATTAATATATCTCCGTTTCTTCTATAAATGTTTATATCTTACTATTACATAGTCAAAATTAAAAAAATAAAGCAATTTCCATCTTCTGCATCAGCATTCTCACAGAAAACAATAGTTAAAGTCCACAAAAAAAAGTATTTTAAATGACGAAAATTATGTGTCAACAAAGCATAAAACACGGATATGAGTGTGATTATTCTTAAAATATTACACTCACGCTCACACCCACACCCTCAAGTTCGAATAAATTTTGTAGACCTAGACAGAAAGTGTTTGAGATAAGAAAACCGACCAAAAGGTAGAGTATCAAGTCTATAGTTTCAGAAACGATAGAAATGTTCGAGCAAGTTCGTACTTTAACAGTTAGAAAAATTAAAAATAACTTTTTTCACTCATTTTATAGTTTTATATTACACCGCGAAATGTAGATTGAGGCTTTTTTTGAAGAAATTCGTCTTTATATGGTCAATAAGTAGTTTTATCATATATCATTCGACTGGTTAAACTATGCTGAATAAACCTACATGTATATAAATACAAAAGAACTATTTCTCTTCTCTCTACTATACAGTTACACTCTGATATAGAAAATCGCACAGTTTATAATTATCTTCTGAGTGATCAATTTTGATTTTATTTTATAGTAATATCTTTTATGATTAACCAACTAAAAAAGTATCTTTCTTATCTCTGTTCTACATAGTATATAGAGGACATTCCTTTTCCTTTTTTTATAAATAAACATCAAAGTTTGTCTAACGAGCTAACAATCATGCAATAAAGGAAAAGAACATTTTATTAATTTGAACTATTTAACATCTATTCAATTTTAAAGAAAAGAACTCAAAAAAGTAGTCTCGTCTGTTTATTTATATCTAATTATTGTTTTTATGAAAAAACTCTTTACTCGTTGCTTGCTTGACTCCTCAAATGAAAGTAGAAATGTGTATTATTCTCTCACAGAAAATCGATTAACTCATCGCGGATTATTCATGTTCATTGTTTTGTTTGTTTCATACACATGACAGGGATTGTTATGACGAATTGACCGTCTAAATCTGATTTATCATTGCTTCATTATACACAGTTTATTGGTTCATCCCTTATTTCATATACGAAAGCGTAATCGGTCTGTAAATGTGTCAAACTATCTTTTATTTAGACCAAAATAAAATTTCAGTCAAGTAATACAGAATGTATCTGTATGTTTTTCTTTAAAGCGGGCAATTTTTGAGTAAAATTTATCTACTTCTAAGGACAAACTAGGATAATAATTTATCCTTGATAATGATGTTTATTGAATTAATTCATATCTACAGAATTTCCTATCTGAAAAATAACATAATTTTGAATGAGAGAGAAATGAAACATAGGAAAGAACAGCAGGAGGTGATATCAACATTGATCCACTTTTTATTTATGGTCTATGTAGTAACAATCAGCTTTTTTCTATGAAAGCTAATTGTCAAAATATATTAATTTTGTTTGTTCAAAGATTATAACAACGTTGAGATATTCTATTTATGTTCTTGTGTTCTGTTTTACTTTTTTTCTTAGACTTATTCAACCGTTTTTAAACTCTAGAGGGTGAAAATAATAGTTTATATATATATTAGAAATAAGACAGTCGTTTTTTTCTTTACTGATTCATTATAATGTCATATAACTACACAACATCTACCGTCATCTCATCTGAAGTATCGAACACGATAGTTGTTCTCAATCTTTTGTCAACACGATTTGTGAATCATTTACCATTAGTATTCGCCATATTTGGTCTGATCGGTTTTATTGGTAATAGTTTAACATATCTTCAACGTGAACTTCGTTGGAATACATGCTGTATATATTCACTTTGTGGTTCACTTGTTGATGTTATTAATCTTTTTTACAATTCATTTGCAATTTATTTGAGTGGAATCTATGGAATATATATTCCATGGATAAAATTACCTAGCATGTGCAAATTATATATATTTTTAATTGGATTTCTTCCTCATTTATCAATTAATTTCTTGTTAATGTCTGTTATTGATCGATATGCTAGTACTTGTAAGCTTACGTCATCTATACGTCATCTCAACAAACTTAAAATGGTTCCACGATTGATTGGTATTACTATCATCTTCAGTATTCTTGCTTCAGTGCGTGCATGCATTCTTTATGAGTATCAAATTCCATCAGGATGTGTAGTAACCCAACCAGTACTCAATGGTATTATTTATATTGTGATCAATGGTATCTCGCAACCGATGGCAATGCTGATCTTTGTCCTTCTTACTTTTCGAAATGTTCGTCGGAGTCGTCAACGAGTAGTGAGTTCATTTATTCTCTCTTTAAATAGATAATGATCATTTATTTTAGGGTGGAACTGCAACATTACGATCACATCATTCTCGAAATCAGTTCATGGCTATGATCTTCTTACAAGTTTTAGTAACAGCTTTCATTTCATTACAATGGATAATAACGTATACGTATTATATTATCCCTATCAATGGTGTCAGAACTGCTGAACAAACGGCTATTATTAGTTTTGCCTATAGTCTTACAAATAAATTTTATTATTTAAATAATGTTAAATCATTTTATCTTTCTCTATTGTCCTCACGTTTCTTTAGGCAAACATTTATTAAAGCGTTAATCAGAGTATTGCCTCGGCGTGTTTGTCAGCGACGGCAAATATTGCAAGCAAATATCTCCATGATGACTGCCACAAAAGTCCATCAACAACGTACAACAGCACATGAATTGGTAACAACAGCATATTGAACATCGTCTATAAACATTTTATTTTTTGTTCTTCTAATCTAGCATTGTTGTTCGTCTAATCTAGCATCATAATAAACTACACAAAAAAATACATTTTTTCCATTCGTATAAATTTTATCAGTGGCTCCTAGCCATCTTGAGGGTGTGGGTGTGGGTGTAGTTGAGGGTGTGAGTATGAATATGAAAAGAATACAACACCCTCACCCACACCCACACCCACTACCATTATTCTGATTTAAAAATGAGAAATCATAAGCACCAATGAAACAACCTTGAATAGATGAATTAATTTTATTTCGATTCACATGAGTAGTCGTCGAGTGATTGGAATCGACAAGTTTAGCAACTCTATTATTATTTAGATATGATAGTACCAATGTTACCGTAAGAGAAGTAAGCATTGACGGAATAGCTATATAAAATACAAAAGAAAGACATTTATTTATGAAGATGATGCATACTACAATAAGGAATGTATATGTGTGTTCTACCTTGCATTTTGAGAGTGTATTGAAGTAGAGAAAGCATACAACAAAAAATTAAAAAGAGAGGCAAACATGTTGAGAACAATACCTTATGTTATTATCTGATTTGACCAGATAGTCGTAATAGCCGATTTTCACTCAGGCCTTTATATGTAAAATGACTATTATAAAATGGTGAGGCACCTGAGAGAAGCAGACACTCCAAAGAAATACAAGTCAATTAATTCATCATGATTATTATTATTTATTTAATGTATAAAAAAAAGTAGTCTTATTCATTTAAAGATAAATTAAACTTTTGTACTCGATCGTTTCCCAAATCGCCGACATAGATATTACCATGTCTATCGAATGACAAACCGATAGGCCCATTCAGTTGATTCGATTGTCCTCCTCTATTGTTTCCACCAGCAATGATATTTCCTTGTTTGGCTCCTTTCATCCAACGTATGATTCGAGCATTATCTGCATCAGCTACATACACTGTACCTAATCGATCAACAACAACTCCTTCAGGAGAAGACAATTGTGTAACATTATCTCCTTTTCCATGACCACCAGCTACGATAATTCCTTGTTTTGCAGCTTCTTCCCATTTCATCACACGATGATTGTTATGATCGGATACATACACTGAACTATCACGATCGACAAATACATATGAAGGATGAGACAGTTGATCGAGACGACTTCCACCTTCATTACCACCAGCTACTACTATTCCTTCTGATTCTCCTCTTTCATATCGTCTCACTTCATGTTTC